TATATGAAATGAGCTGAGAAAATAAAATAAATAAGGACACAAATATTAGAAAAAATAAACTTTATTCAGTTCATAAACATCCTTTTCAATGATTTGTGGAGATACTTCACATTATTGATCCAGCCAGCCAACAAGGTGACTAGTTATATGAACGTGAGGGTAAAGTACTGCTGGACTAAGTGTGGAACTTCCTTTTGGGTCCAGCCAGCAGCCAAAGCAGTGGGTTTCCCTGCAACAGAACCGAGATAAAAGCTGAAAGTTAGATTTACTCAATAAATAAGGAAACTAGGACTGAGAAAATCCTTTGTTTATTTAAACAGCAGTTGGACCTAAAAAGCGCTTCAGTGGCAAACAAGATTTTCTACACCTATAAAGGTCATATGAGGAAAGATACACAATATCTACGCCTGACTGTAGCAAGCTTTTTGCCTGAAGAAGGTAAAACGGCAGGCACAATAAAACATTTTTACACACACACACACACACACACACACACACACACACACACAAACAATAAAAGCATCGAGGAACAGTCAGAATAATCTACACAGTGAGAGACCACTTCTTCTCATTTTTAGTCAAAGAAAGCCTTCATGACTGGAGAGGACTGATTGGCCTTGGCATAGGGGTCACCAAATCTGACAGCTGCTGTCAGAATATGTGACCTCACCACATCTCCACAAAAACTAGTTAATATCTAACCAAACATTTGTCAGATTTGGTGACCCCAATGTCAAGGCCATTCTGTCCACTCCAGTCATGAATGCTTTGTTGGCTGAAAAGGTAAAGGGATGATACATCACCTGAAAAAATTTGGTTGGACTTTAACTAGTTTTTGTGGAGATGAGGTGCGGTCACATATTCTGACAGCAGCTGTCAGATTTGGTGACCCCTATGCCAAGGCCAATCAGTCCTCTCCAGTCATGAAGGCTTTCTTTGACTAAAAATGAGAAGAAGTGGTCTCTCACTGTGTAGATTATTCTGACTGTTCCTCGATGCTTTGTGTGTGTGTGTGTGTGTGTGTGTGTGTTTGTGTGTGTGTGTGTGTGTGTGTGTGTGTGTGTGTGTGTGTGTGTAAAAATGTTTTATTGTGCCTGGCGTTTTACCTTCTTCAGGCAAAAAGCTTGCTACTGTCAGGCGTAGATATTGTGTATCTTTCCTCATATGACCTTTATAGGTGTAGAAAATGTGTAATGAAACATCAGAGTCAGGAATATAAGAGTGATTACCAAGCAACACGAAAAGTAAATACACGCATTTCTCACCGTTAGACTTGCTGAAAGCAGCAGAACGAGAAACGAACGTGTAAAACGCTCGTTCACGTGAACAGAAACTGCAAAATAGCGCCCTCAACGGTCAGAGAATTCGGTGTATCAAAAACAGGACTGATAAACAGCAGAGGGCGCCCGCGAGCGAGTCCTCAATGAATGGGAGTGAATGGAGCTCAACGGCTAAAAACGAAAAGTTAAAATAGTTTCTAATCACTGAACCAGAACTTTCCTTCAGTTTTAGACAGCAGAAGGATGGATTTCACTAAAAAACAAAGATATCCTACCTGTATGTTTCCTTTTTTTCTACAGTAAACGGGTTTGGGGCAGCAGGAGGCGGGCATTAGTGCTAGAGAGTGATGATTGATTGGCGAGCGGAGCAGCTCATTGGCTCTTCGCGCTCACTGACGTCATGGACCTACATGAGGCGCCGTTTTAAACTCCTATAACTCCTATAAAGCTCTTAAAAATATAACAGCAGTGTTAAAATGTTTTATGCTGTTCTGTGTTCAGGAAATGATCGCATTCTTTTACATTAAAAATGTTTAAGCATTTATAAACTATGATTCTGCTCAAATGCTCCATATCAACCCATTCATTTTGGACTCGGGAGCGCCCTCTAGCGTTTGAGAAACCCAGAAGACATCGCAGAGTGGGAGTTCTCCTCTCTACAGGTTCTCTGTCAGGGGTGTGTTTATAACTCCCGGTTCTCCGTCTTTTATAAGACTTTATCTGATCCAGGCCGCTGGGAGGCGACAGAGCTCAAACACGGCGTAACACCCGCCGAGTAAGACGCCGGGCCACGCGTGTTTCTTGTAGTCCGTGTTTACGGCTCGTGTGGAAATTCAGCGCGAGCAGGTCTCACATTACCTCCTAAACACGGGAGAAAATGGGTAAAAAGGGCAAAAAGGAGAAGAAGGTGAAGGGGGCGGAGAAGACAGCCGCTAAGATGGAGAAGAAAGTCTCTAAGAGGTCCAGAAAAGAGGAGGTGGGACTGAGACCGTCTGTTTATTTGGGCTTTTTGACTTATATTCCGTCTAACCGGGAGAGATGAAAGCCAAACACCTTATTTATGATTAAATCTACAGTAAATCCCCGCGTTGGTCGCTAGAGGACGCTGTGACTCCAGCTCGCTGCTGTTGTCATGGTAACATTTACCTAGGCCGACTAGCTCGACGCTGATCATTGAATGTGTCTAAATTATAATCACTTTTTAATAATAATAATAATAATAATAATAATACTGCACAGAAATACAGCGATACTCGATAAGGCAGCAGTCTGCGGAGCAGATCCTGTATAAATAAAAATAATGCGTGGCCACCACTTAGTAAGGCGTGGGAATGAGATGATTAAGTCGTGGCCACGGCTTAGTAAAGCGTGGGAATGAGATCCTAATGCGCGGCCACGACTTAGTAAGCCGTGATCTCGTTCCCATGCCTTACTAAGTCGTGGCCACGCATTAGGATCTCGTTCCCACGCGTTAATAAGGCGTGGCCACGCATTATTTTTATTCATACAGGATGTCACCAGCAGGGGCTCCGTAGCAGTCAACTGTTATTATAATAATACTAATATCCAAAACCACATTATCGCCGATATTTTGCGAAGCGTTTACATCAAACCAACCGCGCCGCTTTCTCGCCCGCTTTTCACAGCTCGTTTTAAGTTTCTAGTTTATTTTTTAATTTGCGAAGCATGTCAGGACATTCATGCACTGAGATGCTTGTGGTGAGGCTCAGATAATCACTCTACAGAAGGTAAACAAAGAAAAATTAAAAATACAAGAAAATACTGAAACTAAAATATATTAAATATACACACAACATAGAGACAGAAGGACCTAAGCTATGTAAGGAGACAAAAATCCTCTCTGCTATGTACAAATATATTTATATTAACCTCTTTTTCTCCAGGGTATATTTTGGTTTGTCCATCTGAATTTACATGACCGAATCGTAAGGCAAATTATTCGGTAACTGCATGAAATAATTGCAAATTCTTATTTGATTTATTTAATTATTTTTTTTTGTTTTATGATCATACACATATTGCTATATGCTTACAATTTACTGTTGAAAGCCAAAAATCTTAGAGGCTCTTTGTATTTTTTTATAAAAATAATGTTTACAGAGCAGATCACTGAAGAGACGCCATCTGTTTATAGTTTATAGCTCAGATTTGTGGAAAAATGGGTCGACTTTCAGTAGATAAATTATAAGTATAATTAGTAATAGTAAATTAGTTAGATAAGTAGAGCATAAACTCTCAAAACATTAGTAAGCTATTATAACATATAATGGCTGTCATAGCTTATATATATATATATATATATATGTGTATGTATGTATGTGTATATATATGCTGGTTACTGATCTTACTTTATCGTCTCCATAAACCTGTCAGCTTTGAGATGTTCACTTACTGTAATGTTATCGAGGTCAAGTTTCCTTCATCAGCTCGTTCCACGTGTGTTTGTGTATCGACAGGAGGATCTGGAGGCGCTCATCGCAGAGTTTCAGCTTCTGGACGCTAAGAAGACGCAGGTGGTGGAAAGCGCGTGCCCACCGCCGCCCCCCAGGTGCGCATGCTGAGCTGAAGCACACATGACTGTACAGTTCTTTGAGGTTTGATTGACACTCTGTGGTTGACGTTTGATTGACGCTTATCCTGTTTGTTGATATGTGTTCAGGCTTCACGCGTCTCTGTGTGCGCACCCTGAGAAGGACGAGCTGATTTTGTTTGGAGGAGAGTATTTCAACGGAAAAAAGGTATTTTTAAATTATAGCAGCATGCACTGTTACCTTATTTTACTAATGACCGGTCTGCATGGTTTTTATAATCTTTTGACAAAAAAGACAGCAGAAATATTTAATATTTGAATGCACAGCACTGTTTTGATATTGATTAACAAGAGGACATATAATAGTAGGATATACACTGATCAGGCATAACATTATGACCACCTCCTTGTTTCTGCGCTCATTGTCCATTTTATCAGCTCCACTTACTATATAGGTGCACTTTGTAGTTCTACAGTTACAGACTGTAGTCCATCTGTTTCTCTGCATACTTTGTTAGCCCCCTTTTACCCTGTTCTTCAGTGGTCAGGACCCCCATGGACCCTCACAGAGCAGGTACTATTTGGGTGGTGGGTCATTCTCAGCACTGCAGTGACACTGACGTGGTGGTGGTGTGTTAGTGTGTGTTGCGCTGGTCTGAGTGGATCAGACACAGCAGTGCTGCTGGAGTTTTTAAACACCTCAGTGTCACTTCTGGACTGAGAATAGTCCACCAACCAAAAATATCCAGCCAACAGCGTCCTGTGGGCAGCGTCCTGTGACCACTGATGAAGGACTAGAGGATGACCAACACAAACTGTGCAGCAGCAGACGAGCTATCGTCTCTGACTTTACATCTACAAGGTGGACTGACAAAGGGTAGGAGTGTCTAATAGAGTGGACAGTGAGTGGACACAGTGTTTAAAAACTCCAGCAGCACTGCTGTGTCTGATCCACTCGTACCAGCACAACACACACTAACACACCACCACCACATCAGTGTTACTGCAAAGCTGAGAATGATCCACCACCCAAGTAGTACCTGCTCTGTGAGGGTCCATGGGGGTCCTGACCACTGAAGAACAGGGTAAAAGGGGGCTAACAAAGTATGCAGAGAAACAGATGGACTACAGTCTGTAACTGTAGAACTACAAAGTGCACCTATATAGTAAGTGGAGCTGATAAAATGGACAATGAGCATAGAAATGAGGAGGTGGTCATAATGTTATGCCAGATTGGTGTAGATTGGTTTCCTGGACAGTTGCCTGGTGCTGGACTACTCAGTATTTTGAACTGAGATTGTCTATTGAAAGGAACACATTAGTCCGCAACTGCACTTACACTACGTTCATGCAGACATGAATTACACAAACACCACCTGCCTCCTTATTGGGTAGATGCATCGTACTGGCCGATTCATTTGCATAAAGCTTAGTTCAACCTAACTTTTCAGTGCACCATGCTGGACCAGGGACACAGGAAGTAGGGGTGCTAAGGGGGCCGAAACTGCTAAAAACAGTTACAAATAACAAAAGTACAGAGCATTTTAATATTTTAATCATACAAAGACCAGTGTACGTGCACTGTTTAAGTGTCTAATTGTCTGTAGAGTTGTCTCACACATTAGTCTGGCATGTTGTCATACATTTCATGTAAAGCATCCAGTCAGTGCATCGGTACAGAAAGCAAAACGGGGAATAAATACATGCAGAAGTCAGATTTGTGAACGTTCAGTTTCCTTTAAGGAAATCCTACTGAATATCTTCTCTCTCCTAGACGTATCTCTACAATGACCTCTTCTTCTACAATATAAAGAAGAACACCTGGGTCAAATCAGACATCCCCAGTCCTCCTCCGCGGCGCTGTGCTCATCAGGTGAGCCTGACTGTTGTTTGTCCTCTTTTTCATGGATGGGTCTTTATGGACTTTCAGTAAAGGAGATGGTTGAAGTGTAACGAAACCGTCAGCAGGTCCGTGCATGGATGTTTTTAGGGCTTAATAAAGGGCTCCAAAGTACAACGGTGTTTTAGGGCCACTGTTGATAAACATAACAATAATAGACTTTGAGACTAACGTCGTAACATTGCGAGACTAAAGTCGTAATATTTCAAGAATAAAGTCATAGAATTACGACATTAAAGTGGCATTAATACCAGGAATTGTCACAATATTGTGGCCAAAGTCTTTGCGAAGGGAAGCAGCACCTCCTCGTGTTAAATGAGGGGCGGTGAGTTGGTGGAGTTCTACTTTCATATCGATTCACCCATAAAGAAACACTCAGTCTCCCTGTCTCTCCTGCACATCAGCACCAGCCTGTTATTAGTATAAGAACCGGCTGAAACGGCTGAGCAGGAAACTGTGTTTATCTAGAATAAAGAGCCAGACGGACTCGGAGGAAACTGTCTGTCTGTGTTGTTGAAGGAGAATCTCAGGCAGGGTCGTCTACACGGCTATCGGGGGCTACATCTCCCCCCATTCAAAGAGGGCATGGAGTTTCACAGACAGTGAGAATGATGATCAAAATGATCCACAGAGAGACAGGAGTGAGTGGAGCTCCGGCGCCAGTACAGCAACCGAGACCCCAACAGGTTATGGCAGACCCCCTACAATTAGCCCTCCTTCAGTTAGCCCCCCTACAGTTAGCCCCACTTTATCCTCCAAATATTAAGACTTTTTTTCTCAGAATATTAAGACTTTATTCTCTATATATTACGACTTTTTTCTCAAAGTCTACTATTTTTATTTTTATTCACAGTGGCCCTAAAACGCCGTCGTACCAAAGAGCAACTTGAAGTGAATTAAATTTAATTTAAATACCCTTATTACATTTTTTTAAAACCAATTTTTCCACATTTCTGCATAATTCAGTGGTTGAGATATAAAGAAAGTCATTCAGAGTGATTTGATGTTAAGTGATTCATTGTAGAGAAACTTATAGACTAGTACAGTGGTGGTGATAGGAACTGGAAGTCATGATGTCTATGATGCGCATATGTTTATTTTGTTCACCACTGAAACCACGAGTGAACCACGAGTGCCCTCTGAGTTTTATATGTAATGCTGATGATGTAATAAAAAATTGACAATCAGTTTTCTTTTGGGAATATTTTGGAGACAACACCCTGCAGGTACCAGTCCGCTATGAATGGATTTGGATTTGGACATTTTAGGAAAAACTTTATCACAAAACATCGTAAAACAGTGACTCAGGCATCAGGCAGTGAATTCATAACCATTTCATGTAGTAACTTTCTGTGAGGGAGCTTTTAGAGGTGGACGTCTGGTTCCTATCACCACCACTGTGAACAGTTCTGACTCTAAGTTTCTCTACAACAGAGCGTTTCACACCAAACCACTCTGAACGACTCTTAACCATTTAATTATGTGGAATTTTTGGAAAACTGTGGGAGTTCCCCTTCAAGAGAGACCAATTATGACGATTATTTGTCATATAAATAATGAGATCAGCAGTTTAATTGTCTTTCTATTCATTTCATGCAACTATTACAGTTGAAAAGTGGTCCAAATGGCTGATGCTTCCACAGTACAAACAGCTGAAGCTCAAATAAGCAAACATTACTAACCGCCACCTTCTGCAGGTGTTATAGCGCCAGTCAGAGGGTAGAAGCCTTGTTATTTTTGTAAGGCCTCTAATGTGTCTCTAACTTGTTTTCTGCTTGCTCTTATGTACATGCATCTGCCTCGACCCGACTCTTCAGCACACACCAAATTCACTTTCTATTTGTTGAGCCTAAAATATGCTTGTTAAAGTGAACAGCTGTGGAAAATAATTGCTAATCAGCTCAAATAATCGCCATCAGATGATTTTGTAATAATACTGACAGGCTTGTTCAGAGCAAACCAAGCATTTGTTCAGTGGTGCAGCTATCCGGTATTTTCATGTTCATATGCTCTAATGAAGCTTTTTGGTCAACGTTTTTCAGTGAGTGGGGAGGTGAACATGTACTGGATCCTGCTTTTTTAAGAAATCAGAAACTGCTTTATACCTGACCATGTGATGTCCGTCTTATCGGCCGGTGTCTCTTTCTGCTCCGGTTGGCCAGGTCGCTACTAACCGGCACACTGATTATTTATTCTTGGAAATAAAGGCAGTGAGGAACATGTTAGCTATCCAGAGAAAAAAAGAGAAGCATTTGGACTAAACCAGTTTTTGAATATCAATCAATCAATCAATCAACCTTTATTTAATCTCGGAGAACATTGAGGGTGACCTTCATTTACAATGTTGCCGAGTTGATACAAACACAACATAAAACAAAACAAAATACATAAAAATGTAACAAAAAATATTTAAAAATAATTAAAACGTAGATAAAATGTAAAAGTTAATTGAATCAAATCAAATCCAAATAAAATAAAAGGAGAATAAGATAAAAAATAAAATAAAAATGTATTAAAATGACTGAAATGACTAAAATAATGTAATAAAATAATAATAATTAAAATAAGAATAAGAGTATGAATAATAATAAATAAACAAATAATAAAATTATGAAAATAAGACAATAATGGTAAAAATCAGGTAAAACAGTTTCAGGCAGAGTGGAGGCGGTTAGAGAGTAGAAGTTTAAAGTGACTGAGTGACCCAGCGAGCTGAGCTGTAGTGGTTCCTGTAGTGAGAGTCCCAGTGAGGGTCCAGCTCGCTGGTGCTCCGTAACTAAAGGCTGATTTTCCCAGTTCAGTAAAAACCCTTGGTACCTGGCATGTGATCCAACCACTGGAGCGAGTCTGATAAATACCATTATTTACAGACATCATTGAAGTAATATATTTTATTTATATATTTGATTTATATATTTTAATTATCAAATATAACTAATTTTATTGAATATTTGTTGCAGCCTTAATGTTTTTCTCAAGGCATTATTGTCTATTCAGAGGGTTTGATCCCTGCCTCCAGTGTACGAGGCTGTAAAGTTATTCACAATGCTACCTAACTTCTACGACCCACTGAGCGTTCACTCTATTCAAGGGGAATTCCACCAATTTTTCCAGATTTTCTTTATAAGCTCGTGTAAACTCGGTAGACACTGAGCCACTTGAATTTCTTTACAGTGATGGTGATGGGAGCCAGATATCTCCCATCTCCAGATATGGGGGGGGGGCAGTCGTAGGCAGGAGGTTAGGGAACCAACCTTGTGACCGGAAGGTCGCCGGTCACCCCTCAGCTGACAGTACGTGACTGAAGTGCCCTTGAGCAAGACACCTAACCCCCAACTGCTCCCCGGGCGCCGTGGATAGGGCTGCCCACCGCTCCGGGCAAGTGTGCTCATTGCCCCCTAGTGTGTGTGTTCACTAGTGTGTATGTGGTGTTTCACTGCACGGATGGGTTAAATGTGGAGGTCTAATTCCAATGTGTTCAGAGACAGTTGGCTAAAAGGTTCATTTAATTTCATATCTACAACACAAATATAGACATTTTATTTACTATTCAAAACCACCAGTGAACCTACAGGAGTCTACGGAGTTTATATGGAATGCTGGACAATCAAATGTCACTAGAGTTCACTGACTCATGTTCTGTCTGTCTTCACATTACTTCTCTCTCTCTCTCTCTCTCTCTCCTCTAGGCAGTGGTGGTGCCTCAGGGAGGGGGGCAGATGTGGGTATTTGGGGGAGAATTTGCGTCTCCCTGACGGTGAGCAGTTCTATCACTACAAAGACCTCTGGGTTCTTCACCTGAACACGCACACCTGGGAACAGATCAAGTGAGTCCTCTCTTAAAACAGTGAGTTTTACAGCTTACCTGACCTTAGTCCACTCAGATCTGTTGTGAAAAGAACGAAACCAACAGCTGGGAGAATAACAGCCATTGTGATCATCAAAAAATTGGATAGGTGTCATTTTTATATGTCCTAGGGTTTCAGTCACGTGATTTTTCTGTTGTGGCGCCATATTTGAGACCGAATTTCCAGCTTCGCTGCTCCGCATGAACGTAGCTAGAGGTGAAAGATGTCTAAAATGACTCTCCTTACTTTGGAAGAGAAAAACGTTTGAACTCCTGGTCTCACTTAAACTGGCAGAAAATGACCAAATTTGTGTTTTCCTGATATTTGTATTTATCTCATACTCAGCACCCTCTCCCTATTCTGGAGAGTCTCTCACAGCATTTAAAAGCACAGGAGCCCACCGGCTCTTCACGTCAGGGTGGGTAAAGGATCCCCATGGTGCTGCATAAAGAGGAGAAACACTCCGTCATCATAGGAGGGTAACGACATCAGCTAATTAACACAGATGTGATCAATGCTGGCCTTTAGATAACTTTAGCTGATGTTAACAGCCGAGAGATGAACAGTCGTCCCCCTAACGGAGCTGCAGACAGACGGTATAACTTTACTCTCTGTTTCTGGAGATTTAAATGACGTTTGAATGGAGAAACATTAACGTTAAATATCAGACTGAATGTCGTGGGTCGGAAAACGACGTCGTGTTTCGACAGACGTGATTCTGTAAGTTTGCTAGTGCAGTTAGTTCAGAGTTCAGCTCCAGTCCTGAAACCCCTGCACTGCATAACTGTGGTTTCCTGGTTAAAATACCTGATATTATCAGCTAATTAATCCCTTCTTGAGCTGAACGAGGTGAGAGAAACACTAAACTATACAGTGCAGCGGCTCCAAGCCTGGAGTGAAAACACTGAATTAAAGGTTTGTGTAGTCTTTTGGCTTCTGTCGCGTCGTGCAGGTGAATCACTCACAAAGAACAGCAGATTAAAGGCATCGTGCAGCGCAGTCACTCCCTGATTCGGTCCTCAAAATGCCAGCGACTATACAGTGTGACGCCACGTGAAACGTGAGAATAATCTGTTTGTGCTCATTTGTTTCTCAGGGCTCCTGGCGCCCCCCTCAGGCAGAAGTGGGCATCGCATGGTCTTGAGCAAAAGGCAGCTGCTTGTGTTTGGAGGATTCCACGAGAGCGCAAGGTGAGCACAGAAAAAAACAACCATGCGTCATTTACTTCAGAACAAAAGCAGTGCAGTGCAACAGTGATGCGCTATAACAGGCATGTCAAACTGAGGACCTTCCAGGCTACCATTTGCCCTCATCTAACACTCTGAAGGCCTTGCTAATTAGCTGATGAGCTGAGTGAGGTGTGTTTAATGAGGCAGTAAGCTGAAGTCTGCAGTGTTTTAGCCCCCGCGAGGACTGGAGCCTGACACACTGCACTATAATGTTCACATAATCCATGCGGTCATTCTGAAACATTGTAATACACTACAGGAAGTGTAGGGGGCAGTATGACTTTTATTGTTTCATTTAAAAAGCCTCTATAATGTTCATATGATCCACACAGTCACTCTGACAGACTGTAATACACTACAGGAAGTGTAGGGGGCGATATGGCTTCTACTGTTTCATTTAAAAAGCCTCTATAATGTTCATATGATCCACACAGTCACTCTGACAGACTGTAATACACTACAGGAAGTGTAGGGGGCGATATGGCTTCTATTGTTTCATTTAAAAAGCCTCTATAATGTTCATATGATCCACAGTCACTCTGACAGACTGTAATACACTACAGGAAGTGTAGGGGGCGATATGGCTTATACTGTTTCATTTAAAAAGCCTCTATAATGTTCATATGATCCACACAGTCACTCTGACAGACTGTAATACACTACAGGAAGTGTAGGGGGCGATATGGCTTCTACTGTTTCATTTAAAAAGCGCTCTATAATGTTAATATGATTCACACAGTCATTCTGACAGACTGTAATACACTACAGGAAGTGTAGGGGGCGATATGGCTTCTACTGTTTCATTTAAAAAGCCTCTATAATGTTCATATGATCCACACAGTCACTCTGACAGACTGTAATACACTACAGGAAGTGTAGAAGATGATATGACCTTTATTGTGTTATTTCACAATAAAAGTTGAATCCGTTTGTTGCGCAGGCTAAACTTTGAGATGGAAAGCGAGTGGATAGTCGAATAGCCCATAAATCTCCAGTAGCAGGGCTGGAACATCTGCTTTACCACATCTTGGACAAAAAATCACTTTTTCCTGGTATTGCAGTCCAGCTGCTCTGTGTCAGTGTGGTTGTGTGTGTCTCTCTCAGGGATTATATCTACTATAATGACGTTTATGCCTTCAACCTGGACACTTTCACCTGGTCCCGACTGACCCCGTCTGGCACCGGGCCCTTACCTCGCTCCGCCTGCCAGATGACCCCCACACTGGATGGCACTGGGGTCATTATCTATGGTGGATACTCTAAATCTGTATGTTGTGCATTTTCGCTCTTTTTCTGTTTTTCTGTTTTCCTTATGATTTAGTGCTGAACATTTTTGTCATTTTCACATTTTTTGACTTTGTGTATTTAAATATACAAACAGAAAACTGTTTTCTACTGTGATTAAATATGAAATCAGGAAGGGTTAAACATCAGTTTATTGCATGCACTGTAGGTGGTAAGAGGTGGACTGTATGTGGTAGTTGATTTGTGGATTGATTTAGTGATGTATGTGTTTTATGTATGTTAGTTATTTATCTCTGTTTTAGACTGAATTGCTGGTTTATCTCTATGTTTTAGACTAATTTAATGATTTATCTCTGTGTTTTAGAATGATTGAGTTATTTATGTTTGTGTTTTAGGCAGATGTATTGATTTGATCAATTTGAATTGATCACTCTGTTTCAGGCTGAATTAGTCATTTATTTTTGTGTTTTTAGCTGATTTAGTGATTCATCTCTGTGTTTTAGGCTGATTTAGTCATGTATCTTTGTATCTTTGGCTGGTTTAGTGATTTATCTCTGTGTTTTAGGCTGAATTGGTGATTTATCTCTTTGTTTTTAGCTGGTTTAGTGATTTATCTCTGTGTTTTAGGCTGATTTAGTCATGTATCTTTATATCTTTGGCTGGTTTAGTGATTCATCTCTGTGTTTTAGGCTGATTTAGTCATGTATCTTTGTATCTTTGGCTGGTTTAGTGATTTATCTCTGTGCTTTAGGCTGAATTGGTGATTTATCTCTGTGTTTTTAGCTGGTTTAGTGATTTGTCTTTGTGTTTTTGGCTGATTTAGTTATTTATCTTTGTATTTTAGACTGATTTAGTGATTTATTTTTGTGTTTAGGCTGATTTATCTCTGTGCTTTAGATATGTGTGATTTTAATACACTGCCAGCTGATATACAGACCTCACATAACCTTACACTATACACCTTTGTCACCTTTTAGCTTAAAATCTTTAAAATTGGCTTAACATAAGACAAAATATCAGGTGCTTATGTCGCCATGTTCTGCGTTTTAGACTGCATTTGCGTTATCCCAGTATCCAGTTAAGTTAATGATTATTATAATGAATATGAAAACATGTGTATTCAAATTATCGCACCTATACTGGCTTATGATGGGTTGTTTTTAGGGTCAGTACATTCCTGTTTGCTTGAATCTTTCCTGATCAGTTAAATCAGCCTGGGTCAGCGTTTTTTCTGGATTGCGGGTTTCTGATGTGTTGAAAGGTGGACGCTGCCAAAAAGGTTTCATTAATTTCTCTGCGAGTGCAGACCACTCCTTCAGCTGATGGCTGTGGGAACGCTGATAGCTCGCACAGCTGATGAGGCATGGAGTCATTTACTGAAATTTGTCCTTGAGTAAGCCCAGGAGAGCGATCTGACGTGTCTGCTAATGGTCATCTCTCCCCCAGAGAGCCAAGAAGGATGTGGATAAAGGAACCATCCATTCAGACATGTTCCTGCTGAAGAGAGAGGGCAAAGACGAGCAAGGTAACACACATCCATTACACGGTTTTACTAGATTACCTCTCTCCTCCTCCTCCTCCCTCTCTCGCTTTCTGTCCAGCCTCTCGTTTCACTCATGTACGCTACAGTTCAAAAGTCTGGAACCGGTAATTTAAATAATATAAAATCCATTTGGTTTAAGATGTATAAATGTATAAAATGTATAAAATAACTACAACTAAATAAATAGTCAGTAAAAAGCTAGAAATAAAAGTGAAGTAATGTTAGATGTGTCCAGAATGATGAACAGAGCTGTCGAAGGTTTTATAATGACTGAAAAAGCTGTAGAACATCAATAATGAAATTGGAGTAAAATTAATATCCAGAATGAAGTTCTAATAAACTTAATCTCCAGAATGCCTTGCATTTCAAAAGATGAAATATTGAGGTGGAACAAAAATTGTGTGACAAAAATTATTGCAAATAATAATTAAAGAACATTGGTTGTGATTTAATAACTTGTAGTTCTAAACGTTTTTGTTCTTCATCTGTCTAGTTTACACAATATTTAAATCTACATTGTATATATTATCATTGCATATAAGAATAAGGCAAGGCAGGTTGATTTATACAGCACCTTTCATACACTGCTGTCATTCAAAGTCCCTTACAAATGAGTAAATACAGAGTGATTCAAAAAGATTCATCTGATTTCAAAGTGATTTATTTCTCTTGTAAATCATTACAGATCAGTGCAGTGAACTGTAAATGGTTTAAATGAGCATAAAGTTTATTATGTAATTGTACAAGGTCTCAGTATGAACCTCCTCCAGCTGTACAGACAACATCAACGCCATAGTCAAACTCATCCCATACTGGATTGAGCATGTCGGGTGTCGCTGCACTCACGGCTCTTTCAGTGTGATTTCGGAGATCATCCAGTGTTGTGGAACCAACGACAAACGCTCTGAGCTGTTGGAGCTTCACTGCCCATGAAAATCACACTGCACAGTTATGACGGATTCACTCTTATTGAAGTGGAGAACGCAGAACGCTTTCTGCTCAGGGGTCTCATCTCCTCTCAGACTGAAGGGAGCCATCTTCCACTGACAGTCAGAAACTCTATGACCCCCTCTTTCAGTTGGATTGTGATTGGTTCCTATAGGCGCTTCATGGCTGTAAAAAATATGGCGCTTTGAAATCGAACCTTTTTGAATCAGCCTGTACAGTCATTTAAAAAGTAAGGGGAGAATAGAAATTAAAAACATTAGATTTAAAAGAGAAAATCATTCAACTAAAAATCAGATTAGAAACTAAAATAGGATAATAGGACCTGCCCCAAGTGGAGGAGTGTAAATATCTCGGGGTCTTGTTCACGAGTGATGCGCAGTAATGCGGTCACTGTACTGGACTGTAGTGGTGAAGAGGGAGCTGAGCCATAAGGCAAAGCTCTGTGTTTACCAGTCGGTCTACATCCCAACCCTCACCTGTGGTCATGAGCTTCAGGTAATGACCGAAAGAATGAGATCACGGATACAAGCGGCGGAAATGAGCTGACAGGATGAGGAGCTCCGAGTAGAACCGCTACTCCTCCACATTACGAGGAGCCAGTTGAGGTGGTTGTGGGAGTCAGGGTCACCTGGGATTCTCTGTTCTCTCAACTGCTACCGTGACCCTATTTGGATTAAGCGCTTTAAAGATGATGATGATTATTAAAAATCAGTTTAAAAATTAGGATAATAAAGTTTCCTTCCAGAGGAAAAGGGCTAGAAACGCTAAGAGTGTTTAAACTGAGCTGAAAGCTGCTCTAATAGGTCTGTTTTGAGGCTGGATTTAAAGTGTCGGAGCTCTTTAATGCTCTCTGTCAACTGGGTCCATTTACGAGCAGCACAGTAGCGAAACGCTGCTTCTCCATGTTTAGTCTCTATCTACAGCAGGACAAACTGACCAGTTCCTAATGACCTGAGAGTTCTGCTCGGCTCATATCGCTGCAGCAGGTCAGATAAATACACTGCTCCTGCACCATTAAGACATTTATAGAGCAGTAACAGCTCCTTAAAGTCTATTCTGGAACAGACCGGTAGTCAGTGTTTGGATTTAAGAATGAGGTGATGAGGTGATTCCTCCTTTTACTCCTAGTGAGACTCTGACAGCTGCATTTTCAATCATTGACCTGTTTGATAGAACTTTGTTAAGCTTTTATCATTATTATTATCATTACTATGAACCGTGACCAGTGATTCCAATCTTTTGGAAGTGTGTATTTCTTTTTTGTTCGTTTTTTTTCGGAATGGTGCGTAAAAGTGTTGATTTTTGTGTGCAGAGAAATGGAGCTGGTCGAGGGTGAGCCCCTCCGGGGTGAAGCCGCCCCCTCGGTCGGGGTTCTCTATGGGTTTAGGACCCGCAGGCCGGGCGCTGCTCTTCGGAGGAGTGTGTGATGAGGAGGATGAGGAGACTCTGGAGGGAGATTTCTTCAATGACCTTTACCTTTATGACGTCACTAAGAACCGCTGGTTCCCTGGACAGCTCAAGGTATACAGAGCACACTCGTCCGGTTCGCTTCACATTTTGGGCCACTGTGGCCCTGATGTGTGACTGAAGTACAGATCAGAATGTATTAAATAGGGCTGGTCCAAACAGATTGTACAGGCTTTGAATACTCATTGGTTTTTCTGAATGAACACCCAAATACTTGTCCTCAAAATTCCCCTATAAACAATAATATTTGAATCGTTTTTAGTCGTCTGTCATTTTAATTAAACCAGTTTAATGTTTCAGTCCACGCAGCCCCCGCGCTGTACTAACACTGTGTGGAGGAGACTCTTCTCTGATGCAGCTGTAAATCTTTGTGATGTTGGTAAACTATTTCATTAAAAAAGGAGAAAGAGCAAATATTCTCACCTGAAGCAGTTCAGTGACAGCAGAGTTGGAGGAAAGCAGTACAGTTTGCTACGCTTTGATGTAGGTGATGTAGATGCTGGCATGAATTTATGATGCTTTCAACCAAAGCAGATGTGATTGGTTTATTTTTTATTTTCCATGTATTAACAACAACTGTTTACAGGAGTTTACTGATGAAATCTATTGAAGTTTAAGCAACAAATTTTGTGGATTTAAAAAAAAAAGATAAAGCTTCCAAAAACAGAAACAGATGCCCTCTCAGATTTAAAGGTAGTAAACTGTCTCTGGGGCAGGACCCCTCCTGTCACTGGGGTGGTTCCCTCAAGGCTCCATCTCAGTACCTTTAGTCAGGGAACATAACTGAACCATAATCCACTGAAATGATATGTTCTAAGCTGTACTGACTCCACACACCCCGTCTCGTCTCCAGGACTTTATTTTACTGTTCTGTTTTAAAACATTCGGTTATGAAAAGGTACAAATACGAACTTTTCACCTGGAAAAACTTATTTAAGGTTCACAATCAGACCCTAAAACCACTGTAGTACCTTTGAGGGAACATTTACATTGTTTGTACCTTGATGAATTAAAAATGAACCTGCACAGAACCTTTATTTCTAACAGTGTACAGTAGCAAACTAGTACTCGAGTATTCAGATGATTCCAGCCAGCTCTTTAGAAGTCGAGTTATTGTCGTCTTGTTGCACTGTTCAAATGTAATAACATATTTTTAGACAATTTATTACGTAATGAATTACATTCACAATTAATTTACATTCTGTATTTAGAGGTAGTTTTTGCATCAAAAAAATGCATGAAAACCATCATACACTCTTAAAAAAGAGGGTTCTTTAAGGGTTCTTTAGTAAAGAAAAATGTTCTATAAAGAGCCATGAACACTCACAGAGCCCTTTGCATGATTAAAGGGTTCTTTGCATTATGAAAAGGTTCTTCAGATTGATGGAGAATGTGCTGTAGATGCTGAAAAGGGTTCTATAAAGCACGAAAAATATTGTTACAAGTTTGACATTGTGAGAATAGAAGAACCCTTTTGGGTGCTATAGAGGACCCTTTTCAATGATGCGAAGAACCGTTTAATCATGCAAAGGGTCCTTTGAGTGTCCATGGTTCTTTATACCATTTTTTTTAACTAAAGAACCCTTGAAGAACCATCTGTTTAAAGAGTATAGCAGTAACTTTTCATGAAGTTCAAATCATAATAAAATATCTCATATTTACCAACACAAATGTGGTGAAGATTAAAAGTGTAGAATCTGCACTTGTTTCAGTGAACTATGAGAAATCATTTATATGAAATTACACCAAGCTTTTGATATCAGTGGTGATACCATCTTCTCCAGGTTGAGTTCTTTATTGTGAACTGAGCCATCAAACTCATGGGACAAATTTGTTGCATGAAATAACTTTCTGACTTTGCCAGATGTTACAGTAGATTAATTACAAATTGACTCTTGATCAAGAGAATATATACACCGATCAGACATAACATTCTGACCACCTCCTTGTTTCTACGCTCATTGTCCATTTTATCAGCTCCACTTACTATATAGGTGCACTTTGTAGTTCTACAGTTACAGACTGTAGTCCATCTGTTTCTCTGATACTTTGTTAGCCCCCTTTTACCCTGTTCTTCAGTGGTCAGGACCCCCATGGACCCTCACAGAGCAGGTACTATTTGGGTGGTGGGTCATTCTCAGCACTGCAGTAGCACTGACGTGGTGGTGGTGTGTTAGTGCGTGTTGTGCTGGTCTGAGTGGATCAGACACAGCAGTGCTGCTGGAGTTTTTAAACGCCTCAGTGTCACTGCTGGACTGAGAATAGTCCACCAACCAAAAATATCCAGCCAACAGCGTCCTGTGGGCAGCGTCCTGTGACCACTGATGAAGGACTAGAGGATGACCAACACAAACTGTGCAGCAGCAGATGAGCTATCGTCTCTGACTTTACATCTACAAGGTGGACTGACGAAGTAGGAGTGTCTAATAGAGTGGACAGTGAGTGGACACAGTGTTTAAAAACTCCAGCAGCACTGCTGTGTCTGATCCACTCATACCAGCACAACACACACTAACACACCACCACCACATCAGTGTTACTGCAGTGCTGAGAATGCTCCACCACCCAAGTAGTACCTGCTCTGTGAGGGTCCATGGGGGTCCTGACCACTGAAGAACAGGGTAAAAGGGGGCTAACAAAGTATCAGAGAAACAGATGGACTACAGTCTGTAACTGTAGAACTACAAAGTGCACCTATACAGTAAGTGGAGCTGATAAAATGGACAATGAGCGTAGAAACAAGGAGGTGGTCATAATGTTATGCCTGATCAGCGTATGATCACATTTCCTAGTCCTGGAAAAGTAGCATTAAGGAATGTTCTTTGAAAACAGGGGGGCAAGTCGGAGAAGAAAAAACGTCGACGAGGGAAGAAAGGAGTGGAGGAAGGGGGTCAGACGGAGGGGTCGCCTCAGGAGAGCTCAGAGGAGGCACAGCAGCCAACAGAGATCATCAAGGAAATCGTCACAGAGGATGGAACGGTTATGACGATAAGGGAGGTGATCCCAGCGGCCCAGGCTGTGGCGGAGGAGAGCGAGGAGGAGGAGGAGGAGGAGGAGGAGGAAGAGGAAGAAGGAGCTGCGGCCGCTCCAAAGGTGGAGCCGTGTCCGAGGTCGAACGCCATGGTGACGGTGAAACACGGGAAGCTGTATTTGTACGGAGGCATGTTCGAGGTGGGCGACCGGCAGTTCACTCTGAACGACTTCTACTGCCTCGACCTGCACAAGCTGGAGCAGTGGGAGGTGCTGGTGGAGATGGACCCCAGTGAGTGGAGCATCGCTTGTTTTCAGGCTGTATGGGTGAAGCGGGCAAGCAGCATCAAAGGGGATTTGTTGTTTAAAAGTTTCACAAAATTTCCATCGACTGAAACAGGGAAGCTGCAACCCTCCAACACCACAGGCTTGAGTTTGTGACCCCCCCGTTCCTTCTTCAGTTTTAGCTTATAATAGACCCCTGTATCATTCTGAAGATGAGCGTTATGCCCTTATTTTGAGCTATGCTCATTTTCTCTATGGGAAAAATGAATGGGATTTTCAAAAATAGCCACACTGTGGTAATAAAAATGTTCCAATCCTGATATTTTACACAACACAGAAGTTTTTCCCCTGAATGTGACTGGATCCTCTGAATCTCAAGGTTGTTAATGGGTCAAAATATCAGTGTTGCTCAATGCAAGCTAACACTGCTGTGCACCAGAATACCTCACACATACCAGCAAGCTTTGTCCAGTGTGGTAGTTAAATTGATTTGGCAGTAGAGCCTGCAGTTTGAGTGGCTGGTGTTATACAGGGAGATTCACTCGAAAGAGGCCCGAATATTCTGCTGTAACTCCCGTTAGGATGAAGCAATCTGAACCTAAAAAATACACTACATACCTTGACGTGTGTGTAATCCATTGCATTACCTGCGATGCTGGAAGTGATCTCCGTTTTCTGCCAGACACATGAAGGGATACGGGGGTATGCACCCGGAAGTTGCAAACGGAGGTTAAACGTTGTGATGGCTGTTTGACGCCTACCTCATCACTCCAACGCAGGGGCATCCCGGCTTGTTCGAAGCTCCACATACTGAGGAGCTCATTGCACGTTGTTTCGTTCAGATTGCTTCGTCCTAGAGAGAGTTATTACAGAATTTTCGGGGCCTCTTTCGAGTGAATCTCCCTCTATATTGGTGATGAAGATCGATAGTAGGCTTGCTTTCATGCTACATCATGAGCATTAGCTTGCTTGTAGCATGTATGTAGAAATATTAGCATTTGATTACTTAAGGACCTCATAATTCAGAAGATCCAGTGACAGTGAAAATATACATTGGACAAAACGTATCAGGTTGGAAACGTTTTTATTGTGATATCGCCAATTTTTTTATTATTCCCACAGAGAAAAACTGCTAAAACTTCTAAATGGGCAAAACGCCGACAACAGAATGATGCATGACTTTAGAGGTCTGTGACAACCTGACTTCATTGGCATGGGCAGACATTATGCAAAAAATATAAATAAATAATCAAAAATATGTTATCACTAATAAGGGCACTTTAATATTTCTGCTAATGAGAACAAGCAGCGTCTGTAGTTGAGAGGCACATTCTAGAAATATTTTAGCCTGTAATATCATCCGGAGACCCAGAAAAATTAAAGTTTGAGAATTTCAGTAATTTTAGGATAAAATAAGTCTCTTGGCTAAAAAATTGCCACAGTGAAAATCTTTTTCAAAACCACTTCTTATTTATTTTTTATGTAGTGTCCTTTATAGTGGACAACAGGGCGTTGGGTAGTAATTATGTTGGTCATTTTTCTTGTTTCCTACACTGCATCAGACCAAAACCCTGCAGCTGCAACATCAGCAACAACTTCAAAAACCTTGTCATCAGTCTTTAAAGTCCTGATCATCAATGTACTGATCAAAGTGACTCCAGGGCATTTAGCAGCAAACTGTTCCATGTAGGGATGAATCTTAGGTATGAACGGAGAGGGATGAGAATTTATTAATTTATTTTTCATATTTTAGTTTTAAATGTACAATAGTGTAAAAGGAGATTTTCTGATAAATTAGGAAATTAAATAAAGCTCAGATCCTGAGCTTAAATGCCTGCATACACTTATTCCAGCTCTCCATTTAGCAGTGAGAGTAAAATACTGGTGGTACAAAAAAATGAGGACTAAAGGAAAAAAATAGAGAGAGTAATATCACAGTAATATATTTAACTGCTAAGCTTACATGTTGTTGCTTCTAACCCAAACTGGGGTGTGATCATCCTTTAATTCTCTCTACCTCAATTTCCCGTCACCTGCGATACCAAGAATTTCATGTAAACAGATTGTTAGTTCCAGTGTCCATCACAGAGGACATCAAAATTATACTGTTAGGTGGTTAAACTTCTATGCATATCAATAAAAAATTGCTTAAAAATGAGCTAAAATGTTTTTACCTAAAACACATCAACTGTGGGCTTTAGAAACATCATAAATGCATATTTTTATACTTGTTTTCTCTCTTGCACCCAAAAAATGTGGTTGCTGAGATGGCAGCTATTTTGAAAAGGCATAGCTCCTGTTGCGAATAACACTTAAGCAATAGAACTCGAGAGGGAGTGTGTTATTGCAAAATAACATCACGGCTATGATTTGGTCACCGTAGATCATCACAGGCGTGATGTTATTGGCGATAACACACTCCTCGAGTGTTCTATTGCTTTTAAACAATTAAATAAATACAGTAATAAATTAATAAACTGGGCCGTGAACGCGGCGTTTAATATGTTTTAATATTCGCAGTTCCTTCACCAAATTATAGTTCCTTAACGAGCAGCTTGTTGCTACGTCAGAGTAACGAGCTCCGCCCACTCGCTGCACAGCCGGCAGTTCGTTCTCCAGCTCCTTACACTGAATTCCCAAACTGTCATCACCACTGAGCAGCTTTTTTGTTTTTTATTGCGGCAGTTTTATGGCTCAGTCCGATTTGGTCCGACTCTGAAGATCAGACTACACGTTTGGCGAATGGTATTGGGTTCATTTCTGGCTGATTCCAGGTTGTTTAGCTGTTCTTCTGTCACAGCTGCCGACTGAAAAGCTGCTCAGTGGTGATGACAGTTTGGGAATTTAGTGTCGTCTCATCTTCAGAGTCTGACCAAATCGGCTGTCGGTCAAATGTGATCTTAAAAGTGTCCATTTTCTGTTTGTGGCAAAGTAAGAAGTAAAAACGTTTATACGTCTTGAGCGTCTCCTACAGCTGTCAAAGTCGTTGCTTAGCAACCGCGTCTCAGCGGAGTGATACAGTGTTTGTGAAAAACCTGTGATGTTATGGTGAAATAACAGCACAGTTAGAACGCTTCTCAACCAATCAGCTTGCGTGGCCGGAACTAACTGTTGTATAAACCCCAACAAATGATGCATCGTTGGAGAGACCAGGATGTCTCTACATGGCGCACCAGCATTGTAGCTTATATGGTTTTTGAAGTATCCTCACAGAGCACAAAAATGAATTGCCAGGTCTCACGAGAATATAATGTGTATAGATGTATATAGATAGAAAAATACATTATGAGACTGAGTGATAATTTCCATTACAGAAACCCAGGAATGGTTAGAAGAGTCTGAGTCAGATGATGAAGGTGACGAAGATGAGGCTAAAGGTGGTGAGGATGAAGATGATGATGAAGAGTCTTCTGAGGAAGAGAGTGATGAAGAAGAAGGTAAATGTTCAAATTCTCTCGTGACCTAATTCACGGTGCCAGTTTAGCAGCCCGGGAGACTCGCAGACCAATCACATGCGTTGTAAATATCACACGTGACACTACTCAGCCAATCAGATCTGTGAATTACGATGAGCACTGAGACTCGAGTGAGTGACGCACACACAGGGGAGGGACGAGGCGAGACACAGCAGTCAGAGAAGAAAGTGAGTCAGAGGGAAGTTATTTCACATTTCCTGCTCTAAAAAGAGAAAACTGACGATAAATGTTGTTGAAATATGACTGAACTGTACTTTATTTGATTTGATATTCAGTTGTTGACTGTATAAGATGTTGATATACCTACTAGGCTACTTCAGTAAACAGTATATGGCACTGAGTCATGATGCAAGTTATGATGTTCTGGACCTTTGCTTGAGGACATTTTCTCTAACTGGACCTTACTGAATTTTAATTAAATACTCCTGGTGTAAAGGGCACTGGTTCTAGACCAGGGCTGACCAAGACAGGCCCATGAGGACAGATTTTGAGAGTAGCCCTTTCCAGAGGAAAGAAATATTCTAAATGAATCTCCTCTTGATCTCAGGTTCTTCTCCTGGACCTGGTTAAGTCCAGTTTGAAATCAGAGTGAGACTGAAGCCGTTTTCTCCTGTTTCTGAAATTCGTCTCTTGAGAAATGAAACTCAGATTTTCTCACTTTGATCAAAATGGTGTCTCGCATGTGGCTTAACTCTCCAGGTTCAGCTGAATAATATCTTCATAAGAAAAGTGTAACATCTCATCGTTCTCTTATACAGCTCTGTTCTAGATCACAGAACTCTCTCAGCAGTCTGTCAGTGCAGAAGGAGAACTCAGGCTTTTCTCCTTCATGTCCAGAACTTCTCACAGCAAAATGCTGATGTTAGTCTCCTCTTTTCTCCTGAGAAGATTTAGGAGAAAGAATTCAGAAATCAGTGATGCTTCATTAATATAATATTGAGAACTGCTTTAATTCTCTGAGACAATTTTAAGAAAGAGTTTCTTTCCTCTGGGTCCACCCTCACCCTCATTTTATACATTTATTTTATACATTTGCAACAAAATTGGTTTAATATTGTTGAAAACAGTGGCTCCAAACATCTGAACTGTAGTGTACATTTTTAAAAACTTGATTTGAAACCTAAATAACTTCTTTGTTTGTACATTGTTTTGTCTTTTTGGCCCCCTGTTTACATGCAGCTTAATAATCCATTAACAATCCGACTAGTAGCTCAATCTGAAAAGAATACCTCCATGTATACAGTTCAGAATAGCCTAGTCAGATTGAGGCCATTCGGAATACAGTTTCTATCCGATTGATCGAGGTGAGTAATCCTGTAAATAATCTGTTAAATAGAAGAATAATAACCGTGTAAACGCCTGTGTCTGATTACATTCCCTATCAGAAAGTTTAAGTATGTTCTGATCATGTTCGTCACGTCTTAGTGAAAGTTTATACCGTTCAACATGGCGGAGCAGAAACTGGTCTGCAGAGGAGACGAAGTTTATGCTCTGATCTTTAAAAGACGGCGGTGGGACGGACGTCCAGCTTATGTGTCTCAGAACACGACGTCTTCCTCTCGGCCTTCTTTAATAAGGACATGTGAAGGACGTTTTCCTGAGTCTGACATCATTTTAAAGCAACTAAAAACACAAGCACTGCTCACTGCTGCTCATCTCACTCTGACTGGACTCACGTGATGCTCGCTGTCATGGTGACGTCCACACTAAGTGGTTCTCCATGCATGCGTATCATTTTGGATCAGATTATTTGTAGTGAGCATGTAAACGAAGATTTTCCCTCAGATTGTTGAGTAGAGTGAGAATAAACACCTCAGTCTGAATCTATAATCAGAATGTATTCAGTCGGATTGGCAAAAATCTTTGCATGTAAACACAGCCAGTGTTTGGTTACTTCTAATGTGTAGGCAGATGAAGGTGAGTCTCTGTCCAGCAGGTGGCAGTAGTGAACTGTTAATAACAATGACTCTCATACATTTTTCATCACCTCAGCTGAAAGCAGAGGCCTAGCTGGGCTGTTTAGCTGCTTCATAGAAAAAAAACTGTTTGTAGGCTTCGTTACACCTGAGGTAACACGACTTTGTGCCACTTTGTTCCAAAACAGCAGAATTCCTTGTTTGTTTATCTTGTTACAGATGTTTTGAGAACAGAAGGCCAAGCATTCAAATAAGCAGACAGTCATTGCACACTTTGGCTACATTTTAGGTGCTAATAAGGCTTCATGGGAGAGACATAAAAGTCCACGGCTACAGAATGAACATGCAGTATATGTCCAAAAGTGTGTGGACACCTGCTCCTCTAGTGTTTCTTCTGAAATGAAGGGTATTAATAGTGAGTTTGTCCCCTTTTCCTGCAGTAACAGCCTCTACTCTTCTGGAAAGGCTTAACACTAGATGTTGGAACATTGCTGTGAGGATTTGATTGAGCATTAGTGAGGTCAGGTACTGATGTTGGATGGTCAGTTCTGCATCACTTCAATTCATCGCAGAGGTATTGGATGGAGCTCCATCACCACAGAGAACACAGTTCCACTGTACAGTACCACCATAGCCCCCACTTGGCACTGGGCATGGTGACCTTAGACTTTATGGAGATTATACTGTATAGCTGTATTGGTGCAGCTGAACAGCTGTGACAGTAATGGGTGACCTTAAAGTAGCTGAATTCACCCAACAGGGCTGTCTGGATACTTTTGGATATGTAGTGCACCTGTGCTCTGTTAATATTCTATATTTTCCTTTTTATTTTTCCGTAGAAATCCACTTATGACGTGTGGTTTTATGAATCAAAACCAGTCATAATTTATTATTGCATACATTTTTCCATCCTCTCTCGATCCCTTAAACAGGCTGTTTTTGTTACTGTGCCTTTAAAAATGAAATAGGTAAAATAGCTCTGTTCTGATTGGCTGCCCTGTATAGCACATCATTCAAAAATAAATCCAAGCTGAAAAACGTCAGAGTTAAACTGCCGTAGAATGAAAAAGTGTATGCATGTAAATGTGTTCATTTTTGGCAACATCATAAAAACAGTAAATTCAAAGGAGCTGTTTTTGTAGCTCAGTTTCCATATATAGATTGTATGGACTGAGAAGCGAATGGTACTTTTAAACTTTAACAGTGGCTCCATATTACATCAAGCTGATAACTAAAAAAGAAAAAAAAAAATTGTTTTTCCGTAATACGGTGAATATTTTCTTTTTAGACGTGTTTTTATAAATTAATTCTCCTTTCGTTTTAAGTAAGTCTGGGTCTCTTCATAATAAGAATTTTAAGACTTTTCTTTTTAGACCTGTTTTCATGGATTATTCTGCTTCGTTTGTGAACGTATAATTTTATGATATTTCCTTTTAAATGTGTTAGGGTTAGGGTTAGGTTAGGGTTAGGGTTGGGGTTAGGTTAGGGTTAGGGTTAGGGTTAGGTTAGGTATTATTAGGTTAGGGTTAGGGTTAGGGTTAGGTTAGGGTTAGGTATTATTATTATTATTATTATTATTATTGTTATTATATACTGGCATTGACCCTTACACTACAGCTGTCTTATATCCAGGTGTGTTTGTGTTTCTCTTGCAGAGAACGAGCACCCCCCAGTAAAGCCTGGAGAGACCCTGCCTGATTATCAGAGTCGGACTGAAGCTTACTGGCAGGGTCTCGCTCGGAACAACATGGGCCCCGACGCCAAAGACAAGAAGGTTCAGAAAGTGGGGCTCGCCATGGCCAAAGTGTTCTTTGAGGATCAGAATTAGGAGTGCACTGATTTTTGCGTATGTGTGTGTGTGTGTGTGAGAGAGAGAGAGAGAGAGAGAGAGGAAGAATGAATGTTAGTATGTTTGTACATTTGTCTATACACCGATCAGGCATAACATTCTGACCACCTCCTTGTTTCTACGCTCATTGTCCATTTTATCAGCTCCACTTACTATATAGGTGCACTTTGTAGTTCTACAGTTACAGACTGTAGTCCATCTGTTTCTCTGATACTTTGTTAGCCCCCTTTTACCCTGTTCTTCAGTGGTCAGGACCCCCATGGACCCTCACAGAGCAGGTACTATTTGGGTGGTGGATCATTCTCAGCACTGCAGTGACACTGACGTGGTGGTGGTGTGTTAGTGAGTGTTGCGCTGGTCTGAGTGGATCAGACACAGCAGTGCTGCTGGAGTTTTTAAACACTGTGTCCACTCACTGTCCACTCTATTAGACACTCCTACCTTGTCGGTCCACCTTGTAGATGTAAAGTCAGAGACGATAGCTCATCTGCTGCTGCACAGTTTGTGTTGGTCATCCTCTAGTCCTTCATCAGTGGTCAAAGGGGGCTAACAAAGTATGCAGAGAAACAGATGGACTACAGTCTGTAACTGTAGAACTACAAAGTGCACCTATATAGTAAGTGGAGCTGATAAAATGGACAGTGAGCGTAGAAACAAGGAGGTGGTCAGAATGTTATGCCTCATTGCGAGGGAATGTGAGTGTGTGGACAGACCACAAATACTTTATCCCTTTAGGATTTTATATCTCTGTCCATTAAAACATCTGATTTTCATCTCTCTTTTTTCCTGGGTCAGTGTTTTGTGTGGTCTAAAGTGTCATTAACATGGTTCCCACAGATCTCTAAAAAGTCTTGTACAGTCTTAAAATCTAAAAATTTATGATTGTAAAATGTATGAAAATGTATTTTTGGCTATTAATTTCTAAAACAATGCTTAAACAATGCTGCTCATTTATATGATTTTCTTAACTATTATCTATAGTTTTTGTGATGTTTTTACTAGCAAATGTAAAAGAAAGAATGATGTCGGTCTTTTCTGGTGAGAGATTTTTGAAAAGACTTTTCTTCTGCTGTTTTATTCAGTTCAGTTTGAGTTGAGTGGGACTAATGCTGCCTTCAAGTTATGTCGGAAATATCGTATTTACGAGATGGACACACATGAACGGCACCACAGTGTCGTATTTACTAATGGGAAACGCTGATTTTTCAATGAGCCCTGAGTTTCCGAGTTGGGGGCACGTCAACAAAAAAACAATGATAGCTGCTGATAAACTGGCTGTATTTCAGTTATTCATCAGCCACAACATTAACACTGCAGGCTGAAACCATCCACACATGGAAATACAGACATAATGTATATACTCAGACTCTCTTTAATAACAGAAAAATAAAACTAAGCCAAAAACAGTATTTACTCTTATTTCCAACCAAAACCACTTGAGCACAAATCAAGTCGTACTTACGACCTCCGAAGTCGCAAGTAGGAACTTCTGAGGAGGACTTGAAGGCAGCATAAATTTGGCACAGGTGACCTCAGAGCTGCCAAAGAACCAATTGGAATTAGCAACATGTGTATGTTCCTCTCCTGCACATAAGGTGACTGATCTCCCTCTGCTTCGCATCAGCGTTTCATATCTTAATAACTGATGCATGAACCCGGGGTTTCTCCGACTCGACTCCTGCCAATGGAATAAATGGAGTTGACTCCTCGATGTCCCTTATATATATATATATATATATATATATATATATATATATATATATATATATATATATATATATATGATGAGTTTAAATGAGCCTACAATCCAGTTTCTTTTCTTTTTTTGGACACTCGCCGTCAAGATGTCCCCACAGAGTCGGAGAGTCGACTCCAAGCATTTCGACTCTTAGTCATTGGCCAAGAGTTGACGCTGACTCCCAGAGGTGTTGGAGTTGAAGAATCGATTCTTTAGGAATCGACTCCCCTTCACTACTTTTACTGTTATATTTCAGGGGCCGTATTACAGAAACGTCTGTATTACAGAAACTTATCTGTTTGTCTTAACTTAAGATCTGACAGGTCATTTTACGTTTTCACAGATTTGTATTACAGAAGCAAATCTGATCTTAATTCAAGAATCTTACAGCATCCTTTCTATTCTCAAGTTAAGAAATCTTAACTTACTCGATCAAAGTCGACAATAAACTGTCATGTTTGTTACCTAGCAACCGACCACACGCGCACAGCTGAAACGTGAACACGTAAGTTAGTCAAACGGCTAATGTTACTGGTGTAAAGAAAGTCAAATAAAACTAAAGCGTGATAAACTGAGAGTGAAGAATACTGTGAGAGCGCCCCCTGCTGTTTATCAGAGCATCGCCACTCCCCAGTTTCAGTCTCCATTTCCCAAACGCTTTAGCCGAGCGCGCTAACGTTACTCCTCCTAATAAACAGACACACGTTCAGCTCCGTCTCCTCATTATTCACCACCATCACTGTAATATTTCATCATCAACATTAACACACGAAGGTGATCAGAGGGGCGGTGGAGATCGAGTCTGCAGCGTCTGAGATTTATAAACGCTGTTAGAAAAAATACAAGTCAAAGCCCTGTTTTCAGTGAAGAAAAATAACATCATGCTGGTTACAGAGAATTGCGCTGCACTGTCACTGCATAAATCAATAGAAACACGATTAAAACAGAAGTTAAGAAAATATTTAGGATATTTTGGCAACTTAGGTTGTTTCTTAGGATGTAATACCGTTTTCTTATCTTGAAATAAGACTGTCGACTTAAGAACTGTTGCTCTGTAATGGCTTCTGTCCTAACTATAGTCTTAACTGAAGTTGCCGTGACAACAAAGCAGATGAGATAAGATCTCAAGACTTAAGACTTTTCTGTAATGCAGCCCCAGGACTAGAACTTGGCTCAACGCAGTGTTGCTATCTTATGCTAGCGATCTATGTGGGAAACCGCACAGACGTGTCCAACCTGAGAGAAGAAAAGAGGCCGTCATGAACTGCATTTGCAGTCATTCTTGTAGTGTTTAGATTTCAGTCTTTGTAAAGTAACGTATACAGTACATATGTTGACTACAGCGAAACTAGGCAGCACCTGAAACCATAAAGGAAGTGGGAATGCTAATGAGGCGATGCTAGCTGCCTGGAGCAGCTATGAAGGTAAACACACACGTTTGACTGTCAGCCACCACTTAACATGAATTAACTTAATGAAAAGAAAACACAAGTGAGGTCAGATTACCCCACTGTTCTGTTTCAAGCAGAACACTTGAATAGTATAACAGCGCTATTCCTTCTGCTCAGTAACAGGCTACGCTAGCTAGGCTAACATCTTCACAGCTTCTGATGTGAAGTTTTCTGTAATATGTTTCAGCTAAAACAGAGTTCCTGAAGATGAGCTGAGTTTGGAAACGTTTCTCCTCTGCATTTTTGCAGAGTGGTCGTGAAATATAGTTAGCAGCAATCTAAATTTGAAACCTATAGCTAATTCAAAAACTCCCAGAAAACATTTAGCTAGAGAATTAGCTAGGATAGTATAGTTACTCATCAGTGGTGGACAGTAACGAAGTAAATGTAATTCGTTGCTGTACTTAAGTAGTTTTTTCGTGTATCTGTACTTTACTGAAGTTTTTCCATTTTGTGCGACTTTTTACTTTCACTCCACTACATTTCAGAGTCAAATATCTCACTTTTTACTCCACTACATTATGAGAAATCTGTCGTTCCTTTTGGTTTATGTGTGTATAAAAACGTAACATGTCAAAATAAAAGAAACGTAAAGCAAGAACACCAGTTCCTTAGTAAAGGAAAATTCATTTGTGAATCTGAGTTTAAAGTTTTTATTAAACTTGTAACTAAGTTGCAAATAAATCTTAAACTGAAACTTTGCTTGCTTGTAAAAAGTGATTTCAGAGCCACTCAGTTCTACCTGATGGAAACTGTTTGCCTTCAGTGTTTTGTGCTTATGATAATTTTAATAGACATCAGCATCACTAATTAATGACATTCTATTAAAAGACTGGTTTACCAAGAGAGACACTGGAGTTTTTTTTACCTAAAATGAGTTAATGAAGCAGAGTCTTGTTACAAAAATGATAATAGGACATTAATTAATCTTAGTACTTTTACTTTTGATACTTAAGTACATTTGAAGGCAAATACTTTTGTACTTTTACTCAAGTGGAGGTCTAAAGGGAGGAACTTCTACTTTTACTGCAGTAATATTTTACCTTGGGTAGCTCTTCTTTAACTCAAGTACATGATTTGTGTACGTCATCCACCACTGTTACTCATACAGTAACGCAGACAATAAATACACAGGCCCATGTCACATTTGAATACTTTTTAGAGTATACAGTTAAAATACAGCTCTAAATACAGTTTTAGAGTAAAGTTTTCATATTTACTCAAGTTTCCACTAAAACATACTTCCCCCCCCCCAGGAAACAGTGTGTATACGTGCACTCAATAATCCAATCATAATCTGATTTCTGCAGTCATTTGACCAGTCTGCTCTTGCGCGAGATCAGACGGTGGATGTCGCGAGACGCAGCAAAACACTTTTGGAGCGGCACTGGAACCAAAACGAATTAAAGGATTTAAATATTCTTCATTTTCTAGATGATGTGTTCATATTTTCAGCTAAAGTGAGGCGATGTTTTAAAAAAAAAAGCATATTTGTATGAAGTTTGAGTTTTACATTACATGAGTTTATTGGCTGGTTGTAAAGCAGAGATCTGATTACTGTCTGACTCATGTAGACCCGGAATTCCCCCATTATCTGATTACTCAAGTGAATATAAACGTGTTGATCGGATTACTGCCAAAATCTGATTTTCTGCAGTTATCGAATTATTGAGTGCACATAAACGTACTCAGTGATTACACAGCGCCACAGATGTTTTTGCTTACAGAAGTTTTCATATTTACCCAGATTTCCTGTTTCACTAAACCAAAGCAAGAACAAACTCCTTTAGAAACCTGAGTTAGAGGTTAGCTACATGGTTCTTCAGGGCTAAAGGCAGTTGTTCTATTTAGTTCTTTATAGAACAATATCATGCCAAAATGGTTCTTTGTATGGTGAAATATTTCTTCAGATTGATGGAGAATGTGTTGAATATGGTTCTAAATAGAACTTTTTTGAAAAT